GTTAAAAATGACTTACAAGTCACTTGTTTATTTTACGAATACTGTCTGTAGTGCGGCCGAAGTTAAAAAAGCAGTTGATCATCCACACACAACAATAAAAGTGTAAAAGCAAATAAATACAAAAAAAATAGAGACAATAGAGTTAAAGTGAAAAACCAATCGGAATAATGTATGATCTGTTTCGAAATGTTTCGAGACAACTTATGAGTGATTTTATAGATTTAGTGTTAATTTAAACAAAACGCTTTGTTACAAGAATAAAATACAATTAGTAGAGTTTAGAGTTTACTTTTAATCGACAAAACGCAAATAATCAATGGGTGTAAAATATTTTTTAAATTTTTTCACTCATATGCATTCCATAATTTGTAATAAATTGTAATTTCTGAAACAAAGCGACATCAACATGCTTTGTTGAATGCTTTGAAACAACTAAATAAAATTGTTGTATTTTTTACGCCCTTGTTAAGAGGTTTGTTTATGATCGTGTTGTGCACATGTAAATTGCCGAAAATCTTCGCATTCAAAACAATACTAGCGCAGTACTATGGTTACAAAGCATGAAAGTTGTTTGTACGTAAAAGTTCGAACTGATCACACTGATCACTCGTAGGTTTCGAGATGTTTTTGCTATCATAAAGATGTTTTTGCCTAACTATATCAAACACTACACAACTCTCAATGAGCGAGACGAGTAATATTCCGTTTCTATATTAAGGAAGTTGTGTGTGATTATAACTCATTTGTTCGAACCTACACATCCTGCACATGCTTGTTTAATATTTTCACAATAGTGTACGTGTATTTTGATACTATGCAGTACTGTGAATTTAAGAACAAGTATACCCATGCAGATGTTTACTGATAACGGCTGGAATGTTAATGTTAAAGTTGAGCAAAGATCCATGATGAAGTTTTAAAACTCAGCGCTTGACATAAACTCTTTATTGATGAACACTTTGTAACACTTTATAAAGTTTATTTTTTGACCTCTTTATTTGCAAACAAATTTTAAATAAAAAACCAACAAGTATTTTTTGTGTTTTACGTTTTTTTATTATAATTACACGCATATTTGATTTTAAATATTTTTTTGTTTTTTATTAGACTTTTTGCTCCATTTTTTTCCAGAATCTTTTTTTATGTTTTTTTATAAGAAACATTAGATGTACTAAGAAATTTATAAATAAAAATTAAAAAAAAAAATAAGTAAAAATCTCCATAATTTAAAAAACGGAATGATAATATTTATTAAATTTTTATTTCTGTAAATAAAGTGTAATCAAATCTATCGAAAATGTCTATAATTTCAATTGATTTACAGTTCAAATCCTTTCGAAATAGAAATAGAACATTCAATTCTTTAAAAGCCACAATTAAGAAAAACTTCGATGAACTATGAACCCTCGCAAATGTAGCAAATAAGAAAATATAAAAAAGTTTGATTTGTAAAGCCAAAACAGATTCGCAATGCAACCTTGCAAACATAGTAAGTATCAAAATATACGTAACTTGGATTTGCTACAGTTGATTTTGTCTTGTAAATATGCAAAGGCAAAACAGATGGAAGTTTTGAGGTTAAACATACGCTTCATTTTAACAAGTTTTGTGATAAATTGTGATGCTTCCACAGTTTTGTCTTGTATATTTACAAGGTCTATTTTTAGTTGGTTAGTAAGAAAGAAGGATATATGATACAACAGATCCCAAGAAATACACCTGGTCCACTATTTGTTGCCAAAGTCTCTGCTGGGAATCGAACCCACGAGCTTCTTACTGACAGACTAGAACACCTGCAACTAACCTATAAAGGCTAATTTGTAGTTAACCAGGGTTCAAAATACCATATACGTGATCATGTAAGGGAAGTTACGACTAAAATTTTACTTGATTTCGTATGCGTTAGTCCGCCCCCAGAAATTTGTGTGACTATATTGCAAAAGTTTGAAGTATTCAATTCTCCTTTAAATAAACCCTATTTACAAATCTAACCTTCGTAGCATATTTACTATGATTGCAAAAATGCAAAGAAGAAATCGTTTATATTGTTCGATTTCCTATTTTCCATTCCGTACCAGAATAAATTTTAATACTTTCAGGAAAAAGTTGAAAATTATATTAAAGAAGAATATGGTGAGGATTTTTTCTGTAACATTTTTAGGATTGCAAACTTGCTACATTTACAAGAGAGATTTCATTTAAATTTGAAAAGTTATTCTCAAGAATTTTAAACATTTTTGTGACAAATGTCAGGGACCGAATAGCTACTACATTCGATATCGAACATGAACATTTTAGCTTAATTTTGATATTGAAATGATTTCAAAGCCTATTACATCATGTAAACGTATTCGGCCCCGGAGTTTGGAACATATGGCGGAAATAGTTTTGTAACATTTCAACAGAATGTCGGACATGTTTCTAGTTATAGCAGCCAAATGGACGCATAGTTTTATAGCAAGAATTTTGATTTCAATAAATAATTATCTATGATTTGATAAATCTTCTAGAATATCATTTTCGAATTGGCCCAAATCGTTCTATAAATAGCAGATCTATAAGCGAAAATAAACTACTTAGCCATCAACATTTGTATTTTCCAATTTTGCAAAAAACTGTATTAGTTCCAAAACTAGTTCTCGAACGCTTAATGACACCCTGTTTACGTACTATTTTGCCAGAAATTGTCACTTTCGAAACTGGTTCTTGTATCGAATTCTTCAAACTCGTAACTAGTTCTAATAAACAGCTTCTTTAGATCAAGGGTCGAACTAGCGCAAAAGTATATCGATATCGAATGTCCTCACTTTTAAAAAGTAAATTACAATCAATTTTACTCGATCGAGTATGCGATAATTCAATACCAGTTCTGGAACTAGTTCTTTTTTAAGCGATTTTGTTTAAAACTTTAAAATTACTTTAGAATCACAAGTAATGGCGGTTCCAAGGTTGCTATTCAAAAATATGACGTTCGATATCGAATGTCCGCGCTTCAGAAAAGATAATTACAATAAATTTTACTCGTTCGCGTATGCGATAATTCGGTCTTAGTTCTTAAACTAGTTCTTTTTTTCGCCGATTTTGTTTAAAACTATGGAAATACTTTAGAATCACAACAGTGTTCCAGAGATCATGTTCTAGAAGTAATGGCGACATTACTAGTTCCACGGTTGCTATTCAAGAATATGGCGTTCGATATCAAATGTCTGCGCTTCAAAAGGAAAATTAAAATCAATATTACTCGTTCGCGTATGCGATAATTTGGTACCAGTTCTGGAATTAGTTTTTTTTAAGCGATTTTGTTTAAAACTTTAGAATTACTTTAGAATCACAACAATGTTCCAGAGATCATGTTCTAGAAGTAATGGCGACATTACTAGTTCCACGGCTGCTATTCAAGAATCCGATGTTCCAAATGTCTGCGCTTCAAAAAGGGAAATTAATAAAGGGAATAGCATCACAACGATAGAGAACGAGTTCTAGAAGTAATGGCGACGTCAATAGTTCCACGTTTAAAACTTTACAATTACATTAGCATCACAACAATAGAGAACGAGTTCGAAAAGTAATGCCGACATCAATAGTTCCACGCCTGCTATTCAAGAATCTGAAGTGATTCGCTTTGCACTCATTCTAGAACAAAATTTAGTATCTCGAATGGAATTTTATTTGTAAATATTTTAAGATAGAATTTCCATCCGAGAATTACAATGACCTTCTTCTGGAAACTAGTTCTTTTATCAGTGAGTTTATTTAAAACTTTAGAATTACAAGAATGTTCCAGAGAAAGAGTTCTAAAAGTAATGCTGACTAGTCACTAGTTCTATGGTTTTTTTCAATAATCTCTAGTGATTCGTTTTGCACTCATTCTAGAACAAATTCTCAAAATTGTCTGTTTAGTTTAATGAAAGATGTTTTAGGATTTTGTCAGCCTAAATTCAACTTATTTAGAACAGTTCTACAATTACTTGCTTTTTCAGCGATTTCGTTTGAAAATTTAGAATCACAACAATGTTCCAGAGAACCAGTTCTAGGCGTAGAACTAGTTTTTTAGAACAAAGTTTCAAAATTTTCCAGAAATTTCATAACAATCTCAATATTTTTAAAAGATTCAAAAGATTCAATTCTTACAAAAACGTTCAACTTAGGATTATATCTTGATATCTTTTGAAATAAGCAGCATACTTTTAGGATTATTTAAATTAAATTTTTAAGTAAAACATCAATATTTATAATTAAAATTTGATGAAAAAACCTAAAAAACAAAGATTTTTTTTCGACCAAACTAAATATTCTTAAAAAAACGAATATCTGAAGAATATTCCAAAAACATATTAATACAACATTTATTTTTCAATGGCCTAAAAGTATGCCAACTATTTTCTAATTTTTCCAATACAACAAATTACAGAAAATAATTTATAAAAATCCTGTACATCTAATTTTTCTTATTCAAGTTCTAATTGTTATTATAGTTTAGAATTGAATTTATATGACATGTTTTATTTAGGTTCTTTTAACTATTTTGCGACAACATTTAAATAATAACTGAAAAAAAAAAAACAGAAAAACAAAAAAAAATAATAATAATGAAACAAGTATTAAACAAAACAGACAGACAGGGAGTGGGAAAATAAAAGTGGTTGAGGAGTAAAGGAATCATTACAAATTCTAAACATGAGCAAATTTTTCAATACTTTCACTGTTTAAAAAAACATGAAAACGGAAAGATAGAGAGGAGTGGAGAGGAGAGGAAATTACCTATAGGGGGGAACAAAATAACCAAAAAATAACTCATAAAAAAAACACTGAGTACAAGTCAGAATAGAACAGTTTACGACTTAATTTATATGGTAAAAGTAATAGGCGTTGGGACCTTTAGAGGAGATAGGGGAGCTTTTAGGGAAATATCTTTGTTGCAAAGAATTATTTGGACATTTGATTTTGTTTTTGTTTCTTTTTTAATGTGTGATTTTCACAATATTATTTATATCTTTTTGTTTTTTTTTAAGTTTTAAACAGGCAACAATTCACATTCACAGAAGTTTCATTAACCACGTCACTTTTTTTATGATAATTTTTTTGTTGTTGTTTTAATGAGAAAAAAAATAATGAAATTTCTTTAAAAAAGACGTTTTTAACAAAGTAATTACTTAAAAAAAGAGGGACAACATGGGCTTTATCTTCATTTTTGTTTCTATTCTTTAATAATTATGAACCAAAAGGATCTTTTTGTTTATAATGCTGCGGCATCTTCAACGACTTCTTTTTCTTCTTCTTCTTTTGCTTCTTCTTTTATAACTTCTGGTTTCTGTTTATGTTCTTTGTTATGAAAAATTTGTTTTTTTTTTTTTTTTTGTTTTGTTAATAATGAAATAAAAATTTGTTTTAATTACGAACACACAATTTGCCTAAAAACTTCCCCTACTGGGCCGGATGCTGTGGCATTATCAGCTGAGGCTGAAGCAACTGTTGTGGATGTTGCCCCGCCGCTGCTGGATAATAGGGGCTGGTCATCAATTGTGAGGGATGTATTGTTAGGGGGCACACAACATGGTATGAGGCTTGGGTTTGTGGGGCAAATGGTGGCTGTGGTCCCCCGCCAGCAGGGGAAGGTTGTGGCTGTGGATGGAACGTTTGATGTGGTTGACCCGGCGATGGTGTAGTCGATGGTGGTGTTTGTGTTAAAAATTGCAACTGTTGTGGTTCATACATACGGACCTGGAATAGAGAATAGATAGATCCACATTATATGAAAATTACTTTTTAAAGAGAACTTGATCGTTTTTTTGTAAAACAACTTACCATTGGTGGAGCATAAGGCTGCGATTGGAAATGTGGTGCATGTGGTGTTTGTGGATATGAGATGAATTGTGTTTGCAATGGTCCGGTGGCCAATAATGGTTGACCTGTTGCCGCTGAAGCATGCATTTGTGATGGTGTCATGGGTCCTAAAATTAAATTAAAAAAGTTAAATAAAATTTATTTGTTTTCATTAAAAATCGCCTTTTTAAGGCCATTTGCGAAAATTCGAAATTAAGTTCAATATTTCGAATATAGTGGGAAAATACCTTCATTTTAATAAATTTTAAAATTTTCGAAGTTCTAATTTAAAAAAAAAAAATCGAAAAAAACTCGGCTTTTATCCTAATTTGGCATTTCTACAACAACTTTTAATATTTAAAGTAATTTTCGAAAATTCGAATTTAAGTTCGAATTTTTGAAAATACCTTGAAAACTAGCAAAACCGAGTTGCAGACTTGGAAACGTTTCAAAGCTTAAAATTGTTCATGTATACCAGGAAAAAACTCGGGTTTAAATCGAATTAAACTTCGAAATAAGTTCGAAATTTCGAAAATACCTTGCATTTTTGCACATTTAATTGAAAATTAAACAATAGAGCAGATGCAATTCATAAAGAAGACCGCTGACACTTACCATAATTTCCTCTTCTCATGCGCGGCTGTTGGGCGGCCTGTGGATGACCGGGAGCATGAAAAGCTGTTGCCGGTTGTTGTCCCGGCATCATATAGATTGATGCCTGTTGACCACCAGCCGCTGCCAATGGCGCACCTTGTGTATAAATGGTTGTCATAGTGACAGGAGTTTGGGGTGTATGAGGCCGCGAAGGATTTGGAGTGCTGGGACTGCGAGGTGTAAAAGGCTTAGCTGAGGGATTAAGGACATGTGTCTTTTTGACGAGTGGTGCTGAACTCGAGGCCGAACTAGTTGTACCGGTTGTGCCCGATGAAGATGTATTGCTAGAGGGTGGTGTTGTTTTATCCGAGGGTGTAGAGCTACTGTTTGAGGACGACACCGGGGTACCGGCAGCATCTGTTTTTGTAATGGGTGTTTGCTGTTGTTGCTGCTGCTGCTGTTGTTGTTGTTGATTGGGTGTGTTATTATCGACCGCAACGGGTGGTGAAGTTTGTTGTTGCTGGCTATTGGTTTGTCCTGCACCAGTTGGTGTTACATTTTGTGTTGTTGTGGGCTGTTGGGGCTGGGTTGAAGTGCCGACAGTATTTGTTTGTGTTACCTGTGTAGTTTGTTCGGGTATAATGTGTTGCTGTGGTGTTTGTGGTGCCACGTGTTGTTGTGGAGTCTGTGGTGGTGGCACATGTTGCATCGGCATCGATGCTGGTCCTGCGCCATGTTGTTGTGGTACATGTTGCATTTGTTTTTGTGTCTGTTGCTGCTGCTGTTGTTGTTGGGGTGGTGGCAAATTCTGTTGTTGTTGTTGCTGCAAATGTGGTGGTGGACCGTGGGGTTGTTGTTGCTGCTGCAAATGTGGTGGTGGCACATAGTGTTGCTGCTGTTGTGGTGGTGGTCCTCCATGATGTGATTGCTGGCTCTGCTGTGGTGGTCCAGCATGATGTTGCTGTGGCACATGCTGCATAGCAACATGTTGCGATGGATGACCGCTAACATGTTGTTGCTGCTGCAAGTGGGGTGGTTGCTGTTGAGGCGGTGACACCGATGGCTGTGGTTGATGGCCCTTATTAATGTTCATGTGTTGCTGTGATTGTGACGACATGGAAGCAGACTGCTGCTGCTGAGTTGGGGGACCGGGTGAGGGTGACGTGTTGGCCAATTGGAAATCTTGACCAAATTGTCTTAGATCCTGTAATTGATTTTCACGAGAACGCATTTGCCTCTGTGGCTGAGGTGGTGGCTGCTGGTTTGTGGGAGGACCAGACATGCCATGAGGACCACCTGATTGCAAGGGAGGTGAGCTGCTGTTGCCACCTTGTCCTCCGCTATGAGGTGGACCATGTTGCGTGTGTCTACCCTGATTTTGATTATCATTGTTGTAGTTCATCGAGGAGTTCGATGAAGAACCCGAATACTGACGCATAGCTCTTTGAGGCAACGGCTTGCCATCACCTCCTCTGCCGCCAGCATCACCATTCATTTTCGAGGGACCTCTATAGGGAGCGGGACCACCATGCATTGGAGCTGGTGTATAAGGCTGATACGACGATTGTGATTGTTGAGGATTTTGCATTGGCATTGTATTGTAAATGATTTGCTTTTGACCTCCAGCGGAATTGCCGCCCTGAGACATGACACCTCCTCCTTGGGACATGCCAGATGAACCTCCACCGCTGTTGGGTGGTGGTGTATTGCGCACCATTTTCTGGTTAAGAGGCGCGTTGGGTTTGCGTTTTATCATGGAGTTATTACCGCCCTGGTATTTGTTGCCACCATCTTGTTGAGACATCTGCGAAGAGGGTGGAGCAGAACCCTTCATACCACCTGTCATACCGCCGACAGATGATTGCATAGAGTTTGACTGACCACCCATCGAAGAGACAGATGATTGATTGTTGCCCATCATGCGATCGTTACGATCATTACGATCATCGCGATCATGACCACCGTGACCACCACCACGAGCTGAAGAGCCCATAGTTTGTGAGGACATAGCAACAGGCGGTGGGGGTCCAGTAATTGAACGTGTCGGTTTTGTTATGTACCGTTCAGTCATTACGGGTGGTTCGAAACGCTTGCGCTCTCTTTCGCGCTCTCTTTCTCTTTCCTCGCGTTCACGCTCACGTTCCCGTTCTCTTTCTCTCTCCAAATCGCGTTCTCTTTCACGCTCCCTCTCGCGCTCACGTTCTCTCTCACGTTCGCGTTCTCGTTCACGCTCTAAATCAGGACGTGCTACAGCAGCATACATGGCCTCTTCGTCGCCATTCTCTAAATCGAGACGATCCCTACAAGCGGGATTATTCTCAATTTCAGCTGCCAATTTTTCAGCTTTAGCTTCACGTTCTTTGAACTCATCTGAATCGATTTTATCCAAGGGAACAGTATACGAAGATAGAGAATCGTCGAAAGTTGACTGAACTCCAAAAGTATTTTCATTCTTACGAAACATGTCATGGGGATCCCAACCATTGGCAGCATCATCTAATACGATATCAACTTCGCCATTTATGCCAGAAGGATCCCAGGGTTCTAGTTCTTTCTCTTCGAAACGTGAACCTAAAAAGTAAGTAAAGTACATCTTTATATTATTTCTGAACAATCTATTTTATATCTCAACAAATTTAGCTCTGCTATTTAACAGACCAAAAAGGGGTCACTTTAAACTCACCATTACATTTCTCCGAAATGGCAGCATCCGTTTGGAAATTACCACCTGTTGCATACTGTGAATCAAAATCTTTTGCTGAAATACTCACGACCGTGTCGTAGGGGAAAATCATAACATTTGGTACCGATTTCGATTCATCGGGTGAATTTTTACTCAACTTAATGCAAGCAGGCAATTCCAAAGCCACATCGAAATTGGGTGAGAAAGTACGAAAGACACCTTCATAAACATTACCCGAACGTAGACGCATTTGTACAACATTGCCGACCAAAGCAGTGGCAGCATGCATAAAATATGCATTATTGTAAATGCCCTGAGCCTGGGAACGGGATTTATTATTCGGCTGTCTGTTATCATTCGAATATCTGGAAATAAAGAAAATTGTTTATATTAAACATCAAAACATTAATATGGGAAAATATTCATTGGCGAAAAATCTAAAGGTCATTGACTTTAATAATGTGTGAGAAATAAATTTATAAATATTTTTTATTGAAAGTTTTGTTTGAATTTTCTCGGGTTGTGGTGCAGAACAAAACAAAAGCAAATACAATTTAATAACAAATAACTGCAACAAATCTACATATGTATATACTTATGTATGTATATTTTGTTTAGTGGAATTATGATTCATGGAATTAAAAGTAAACAACAACAAAAAAGTTGCTTATTAAGAAAAGCATTTGAAATTTAATAATTTGTGCAAATTAAAATTATCGTTTTTTATCTCCCAAAACCCCCAGACGGCGTCCAAATAATATCTTACGCCGATGACTGCTCGATATTGGCCACGGGCAACAGTTTTGATAAACTTTTACCTATGAGATCTATCTCCAACAAAATCCTCAGCAACTCTCTTTACCACTTGGACAAAGGAAGTAGGGCTAGAACTGGATGTGACAGTCAATGCGGAAAAAATCCCGACTGTAAATCAGCCTAAAATTCTTGGTGTCACATTTGATAGACTCCTTATGTCCTCCGGTCAGTGGTAAACGAAGCGCCAGTGTCGACTCCTAGAGTTAGCGTTCCCACGACAATTGGATCTTCGCTCCTGAACGACCCGAGTCATACTTGGCCAAAGATTGTCAATCCAGCGACTGTTTTATCAACCGAAATTTTTTTCCCCAGGAAAGAACTATCGGCCACAGTCGAACTGTTACAACAACAACAACAACAACTCCTAGAGTTAGCGACACACAATAGAAGAAGCTACAAAGCTGTCAAAACGCACCACTTAGAACAGTAACAGGCTGCATCAAATGACGTCTGAAGAACACCTGCATGACGAGACATAGATGCGTTCAGTTACGGAAGATAACATCATGCTGACAAAGCAGTTCCTAGTGTCATGTCTTCGGAAGGGCCACCACAGAAGAGTAGGGAATAATTTTTAAACTATATATACGTGTAATTTCAGGTGTCGCTGCCACAACAACAACAACAACTGTCAGTGAATGTCCCTGCCGTAATAGATTAGATGAAATACCTTCATAATATTCAGGATCTGGCAAAGTGTCTACGCTGTCCAGTGTCCCATAATTAATGATAGCAGTATTCTTATATGCATTCTGCTGAGGCGCGAGCAGGAAGTATTATATAGAGACCTAGTGGACCTCGACAGGTGGTTTCATTAAACCACCAAAACAAATTGGAAAAATAAATTACAGTTTGTAATAGTAATACTAGTACTGGCTAATTCAATGGTCATACATTTATCTTCATACTTAATGTGTCCAGGGACCCATATTGGCGTTATCCTTATGTATATCTCGTTTTTTTTTCGTTTAGAGATATTCTTAGATTATACTATAATATCGTAAAGACTCCCGTTTAAAGAAAACTGCAATAGCTTGACAATCTGAAGGGTAATCTTATCCCGAATGCGAATGAAGAAGTCTCTACCCATCCTACAACTTCACTTATAAACGACAATGTAAACTTTTATTACAACAGTGGACGAGTGAGACTCCGCTACTAAATAACTTTCCGGGATAAATAGAGTGAAAAAGATTGTCAAAAATCGTAGTCAATGAGCCATAAGAACTGCGGTGAACTGACTGAAGAAGTACTAATACTAAACCTCCTATGTCTACAAGACATCAAGACTGTTTCGCGATTATGGGACATCTCTTAAACATATGACAAACTATCGATAATGTGGCTCGTGATAGACGTAACAGATGGTTCTCTCCTATAAGAGTGGACAATAAAAACATTTATTGGAATTTCTCAGATAAGTTCATCACGGATGAGCATGCGATTACAATTGGATACTCTTTACTTTCTTTTTAAGATTACTGATACTTTGACAGTCCATTGTCCGGCACAATTTCACTTCGATTTGCAGATTATAAAGAATAGGGATGCGATTTACATATAGGATAAGCCAGAGCTAATAAATAAATTGATCTCCTTTTTTCAAAGCCGACACAATGCAGAAACTAGTAGGAAAGCTACCAATCTAAATGCTTGCTTAAATAGCAAACTATTTTGCTTTTAATATAGAAACTCCTAAAGGAATTCAAAGTCCAGAAAGATTTAAAAAAAACTCATACTACAGATCGATTACCAGATGATTGCAAAGTCTTTAAAACAAAAATTTTAAGGTTTCCTAGTTGGTAAAGGTTAAACATTACAAATTTAGATAAGAATAACTCAAAAGGATTAATAATGTCAAATAAGATGGAACTTTGGTACGCCGGACTTTTGTAGATCTTAGAGTAACTATCCCTATTATTGGTACCATCTGCGGTTAGAATCCAGACTGTCACGGGAACCTTGAAGGTCTTTAATAGGAAGGTAGTACTAAAAATGAGATGTTGAAAGTTAAATTTATCCCTGCTCTGGGAAAAAATATCATTACAATTAATAAAATGCATCTCGCTTTTTTAGGCCTCTTTATTATACTGACTCTACTAGTGTGATTCGTTTTGAATCATACGATAACTCAACAAACCTATTGAAACCTTAGCGTTTAACTAATGAAATTCCCTATTATTTCTTTCAACACTGTAGCCTATTTGTAATTCTATACATCTATTTATCATTCCCACTTCAAATGTACTTTAATTTCACTAGAAATTTTAAAAGCAAAATAAAACATTATCTAATTAAATAAATGACAAACAAGATATTTGCAAAATTCATGAGCTTCCTCTTCATATTTAAAATCGAAAAAAAGCTCAGATTTAAAAAAAAGAAAATAAATAAATAAAAACAAAAAACATTTTTTTTAAATAGAATGAGGCCACATAAATACACAAAACAAAGTCAAGAATGCACACATGAATAAATAAATTAATATGAGTAAGACTAGTCGTCGATTTTTGTATTAGGAAATATACAATATTATACTTTTTTTGTTTTTATTTATTTATGCAAAGTAATATTTACAATATATGTTGAACAGAACAACAACTACAAGAGAAATAAATAATAAATGAAAATAAAACCATAGAATAAATACAAGTTAGCATGAATGGAGGAGAACGAGCGAGTAGTAAGTAAAATGCAGGCAGTTAAGATACAATGTAGAAAAAATTTATAAAATGAACAATTATTATTATGAGCGATACTCGCACTACTCGTGCACAAAAGTACAAATAGCAACAACAGCAGCAGCAGAAGCAGCAACATCAACATGCATATTGTAGACATTTTAAATTAAGGTCAATTGAAATTAAAAATCAATTAAGTCTACGTGTGTTTTAGAGGGTTTGTTTAGGCCTTTTATTGTGAATATGTTTTAGTTTTTTTTCTATTGTTTTTTGCTTAGATTTTTTCACCACACATGCATAAGGGTACAAAAGCCACAAAGATTCTCTAGCACTATATGACTACATGTATACATGTTTGTGGTCTATTCTATTCTAATGATGGATACTATTTACAATGAAAGCTTTGGTGATGATGATGATAGAATTGTCACTATATACAAGCACAAAAACTTCAACCAAGTGATATTGATAATTTATCTATGTGAAGGACAGTTTGTTAGACAGAATACTATCATAATTTTGTGTACAAAAATAACATAAAAAACTGAATATAAGAAATTCTTAAAAACAAAATATTAATCTCTAACGATAAATCAGGTCAAGTTTGGGTCAGGTCAAAATTTTATTATTGTTGTGAAAAGAAAAACATGCAAGGAATTGTATGTAATAGTTAAGGTTAAAAAAACAAATAACATTTTAAAGGAAAATGTGTGTATTTACTAGGGTGATCGACTCGATTTTTCAACCGGTTTTAAAACCGGTTTTTTCTGCTTTACCAGTGTCGGTTTTTTCTTAATGTTGATTTTTCGAATATCGAATAACCCGGTTTTTTCAGTTTTTAAAAACCGGTTTCGAATACTTTTATTTGCTTTGTATTCAAAGATTATTTAAATGAAATTTTTAAGTAAATAATAATACAGCCCGTCTAAATTTTAAAAACATTCGAGTCGAGGAACTAGCGTATATTTTTCTACAGCTCCTTTGGTTAAACTTCTTTGATTTTCCTAATTAATTAAAAAAATGTATTTGTAAAATTGATAACTGTTTGATAAAATTTTATCAATCTTAAGATTATATTCCAATTACAATAATTAATTTTCGGCTGAAATTTTATGGAAGTGTTGGAATGCCTATGCAAATTTCCTAAACAGGGCTTTTAAAATAAGCTAGGATTACATAGTACCTTATGTTTAACAGAAGTGTCCCACTTTTTTCCTAATTTTTTTATATTAAAGAAATAATGTAAATCTGTTAAAAATCATTTCGGGCCATGTTTTATTAATCAAATTTAAACATAAACATTAAGTTTTTTAAATTAAAATATATTTTTTTTTATTTATAATGAAAAACCGGTTAACCGGTTTTTTCTGTATTTGAAAAATATCAACCGGTTTTTTTAAATGTCAACTATTCAAACTATTCGAAAACCGGTTTTTGGAAAATGTCGAATAATCGATCACCCTAGTATTTACAGGTAAATCATAAATTTTGAAATGCAAAAACAAAAAATATAGCGTTTATTCCTAGAGGAAAATACTGCTGTTTGCCATTTTTATGTTTAAATTCTATTTATTTTCTTGGAACAGGGAAATTCTAAACTGTAAAGAAATTTCTGGGAAAATCACAGTTTAAACGGTTTTTAAGTTATTTTCAAAATATGTCATAATAAAAAGGTAAGAAAGGAAAGTAAAAGTAAAGAAATTGTTTATATTTCCAAGAATTAATTTGTGTATTTTTCTAATTAACAAACCATTTAAAGCAAATGGATTTCTAGTTTTGTATTTCTCTTGTTAAATTAGTAAAAAGATAGACATACATTTATAAAATAACATTAAAGCATATCGTCAACTGAAATGCAACATGCGTAACAACCAAATATTTGAAAACAACTTTTCGTTTGATAATGGTCCACTGCATCAGAATACTAAAAAACACCGGCTTTATTAACATTCGACTCAACTCATTTCCACCCTTAAGAAAGTCATAGTCATATAATAGACAATGTCTAGCGACATAATTTTATTCAAATGTGTTAATTGGTTACTGAATATAATACATGTAAGAAAATGTAATGTTTATAAAAACAATAGCTTTTATTTTATTTTGAAGTGTTATTATGACCTCTTGCACGTTAGGTAACGATATTTATTTTAATATACAGGAGCTTTGTATTCTGTTACTGTTCTGTTATATTTAACGATTGTGCTTCATCGACATAATATTACTAGGAGACTGTAGCACTTTTTATTTAACAACTTTTTGTAAATCATCAACCAAAATTGAGTATTCTTAAATAGTTTTAAAATTCTCAATCCAAATGCCTGGATCAAGAGCAAAAATTTTCGAAAATACTTGAGCTTCAAATCGATCCTTAACTAAAGTTGATTTTACACTCACTTTGCCAGAAAAAATTATATCTGTTGTTGGGGCTGTCGACCCCAACAACAACTAAGTGAACCAGAATCAACCATAAAGAGAAATTCCGAAATAAAGTACTAAAAGCTCTCGCTAGCACCTCCTGGGGCATGTATAAGGAAACAATCACGTCGACATATAAAGCAATTGATCGCATTCTCGCTAATAACGCTGCCTCAATATGGACCCCTTTATCTCAATGACACACAATGGCAAGTATGGAAGACATCAAGATGATAAATATGGATCACTTACACGAGCAAACCAGTGTATGACATACCACCAGGCTAGACAATTCCTGGTGGCATGCCATCCTATCCCAACCATCAAATTTTAATGGAAGATCCCCCCTCAACACATTCGGACAGAATTTCGGCGTTATATTACATCCAGGATGTTGCCCCACCTGACGTTGACAGATCCTCCCCCTCGACACATTCGGTCAGAATTTCGGCGTTATATTACATCCAGGACGTTATCCCACCTGACGTTGACAGATTGTCGATAATAAACGCACAGAAGACATAGCACAAAAAGGCGATAAAAGAAGGCATTAATGGCTACAGGTGCAATAAAGTCTTAAATCAAGAGGCAATTACCCAGGTAAACTAGTTCTACACTCGCACAGTAAAGAGCCAAGAACGAATTGTTCCAAGCCCTCACTATACAGTGCATTTTTTAACTGTCCCCATAGGCCCACAAATTTAACACCCATAGACCTATGGCTAAGACCGACTGATGTAGCACAATTTCTCTAGCTTCCAATAACATCTCATGACACCAATAATAATTAATTTTATTGAATATTTTCAGGAAAGAACATCCAGTCATAGACAATCTGTTACAACAACTACAACTAAGCGAACGATACAAGATACATATTCTTTAAGATTTATGTAATAGTAATGAAATGAGGCTTACAAATGTAAAGTGTTACAAAAAAGTATGTTCACTTTTAAAATATGGCCATTGCACCAATCTGCTAATAATATAAAAGATATTTTTAGAGATATATGCATATAAAGTCCATATAAATCTTATTAGTAACGATGCATTTTGTTTTCTTCAACTAAAAGACTTGTAAGTTAGTTACGTAAACGTAAGTTTTTATTTCAAATTAAAGTACAATTGAAGCGATTACTTATGAAAAATTACTATGTTCAAATATAGGCCAGGCAAACGCCAATAGGAATTAATACGCAGGACATAATTGTGATAACTCAAGATCAGAAATTGGCCGGAATTACAAAAATTTTGCGTTCGATGTTGTCTAGGTTATCTTGTTGGCATAGAGCAGCTATTTAATGTAACACCAAAGAAAAAACTGAATACATACATAGATTAAATCACAAGCCCGCCTGTTTTCTTTAATAATTTTGTCAACCGAAATTAGCTTAACGAGATTTTGTTAAAAATTTGCAAACTTTCTTGAAAAGTGTATCTATGATTATAAGGAATAGGGGTATTCAAGTAAAGACAAAAACGAAATGCTTCGTTCTTAATGAAAACCATTTGGAATCCTTCGATTCTTCTCTTTTTAATACATATTTACTATTCAATATGAATTGATTGCGTACTTTCTTCGAATGTTGTGGCTTTGTTTTTTTATTATTAATTGTTAATTGGACCACAATAAAACAAAAACGATTTGAAAGACAATTTATTAAGAGTTTTACCAACCAATTCCACGAAATTGAAAATTAAAGTTTACATTTTTGCTATAAAGTATATTTTCATATAGAGATGGAAATATATTGATTGAAACAAGTTCAATGAAATTGCAAATAGTTTGCCTCATATGAGTTTTATAAATTTTTCAAATACTATGAATCATCAGCAACCAACCCAAATTATACTGCACCTAAAAACATAGTTACTTAGGGTAAATATAAAACCATAATTTTCAAGATAACATGGTAACATTCTGATCTTTTTTCAGAGGAGTCCAATCAGAAGGATTTTATGATTTCAAACTAGGGATGATGGTAGGTGTCTGTTAATATTTCATGTTGTGTCTTCCCATTTTTAACACATTTTCCTATTATTTGACCACTAAGAAGTCAAAAACTCCCTCAGAATTTGGGCTATACCTATTATCTTAATAGATCCTGTTTTTATGGTCAGCAACAAGACAAACGCGTTTATCAATGCAGCACTACACTCACAGCCCATATGAGTCAACCAAAATATGAGTGTATTATACAACGCGGAAGCTGAATACTTTCCAAAGCCCGACATTTGAAAAACTCTGTACCCGCCCACAAGTTTTTAATAGAATAAATAAGAATTACGGAAAAATATAATCATTTAACAGGAAATTAAATGTTGGTCAGATTTAAGTGAGTAGAAAGGTTTAAAATGGTTATATACCATAAGGTAGAACTCCACTCGAAGTCCGCTGTGGTCAATAGTGGTTCACTACTGTATAATGAGACAGAATAGTCATAAATAGTAAAACGAAAGAAGAGAAAGCAATATTGGACAAGAATACAGTCTAAAGTAAAGTAAAAGTGGAAAAGGAATTATATTCCTCCATTAAACCTGTTTATGCCCTTGATAAAAAATAGCAGTATACAAGTGCTACTACTAGAAATGCTTCCTAGTTCATGGTGGAACCTATTTCCTAGCCTCTTACTAAACAATATGTAAATCAATAATCCACATAAAAAAAATAAAGAGTTCTTCCCCGAATAAGGGGACCTATATACCTTAACCTATAATTTGTAAATATCTTGTTGCAATTTACAAAAATCGTATTAAAATTTTTGAATTTTCAAATAAAAGTTAACAAAAAAATAAACACTTGTTACAAATCTTATAAAAAAAAAATTTCTATTTCAATTCAAAACACTTCGTTTTGAAATCACACGAAGAAGGGAACAAAATAAATGATAAAAAAATAAATTGACCAACTGGCAAAAATAAAAACAACTCACAACTCCAATGCCACCAAAGAAACTTTTTGATACACACGCACACACATGTTTTTACAATTACATAATATTTTGAAAAAGTATTAAATTTTATTTTATTAATTATTTATTTATTTGTTATAACACCAAATATTAAAATAAAAAAAAAACAATTTCCAAACCGAGTAAAACAAGGAAATGAAAATGCGCTTGCAATGCACAAAATAAAATAACGAAAATTTAAAACGTACAATGCAAATATAAACTTACCTTGAGATACCACCACCACCAGTGGATATACCGCCTCCTCCGCCACCACCACTGGGGCGATTTTTGCGTTTATTGTTGTTCATTTTGTTTTCCCTTTACTTATTGATGGAACGAAAAAGTTATTGACTGCAACCAGCGAGAAAACAGACAAAATATTTTTAGGCACAAACAAAGGTTTTTCTTAGTTTCCTCCTCCTCTTGGTTTTTTATGTTTTTTTTTTTTTTTCTTTTAAGCTTTTTGCACAAACTTATTTGCTTTTTGTAGCGAAAAACACCAGCTTTTTTGTATTACTTTCGTTTTGCTTTTTGTTACTTTTTTCTTTAACTTGTTTTAAATTTATTTATTTTTTGCCAACTTCACTGCATTAATGTGTGGTGTTTGATGAATGTTGATTTCTTCTCTTTGTAGAAATCGTTAATTTCAACGCTAGTTGTATTTTTCCTTTTTTCTTGTACTTTTTTTGTTTTATTTGTTTATTCAACTTCTTTTGTTTCTTGTGTGTTTTCCCTCGTTTTTTTTCAATTTTACGGGTTCATGCAGTTTATTTTATCTTCGTGTTTTTTCTTGGAATTTCTTTTGACTATTTTTGTTTTTCCCTTTTGAAATAAATTCTGCCTTTTTCTCTGTTCTTTGATCAGTGTGAGTTGTTGTTGGTATTTCTTGTTTGCTGTGTGAATTCTTCTATTTCTTTTTTTGGCTTCAACTTCGCTGCAAAATTTTCACGTTTTTCTTTTTTCACCTTTCCTTTTTATAGTGTTATTCGTTCGCCTACCTCTGCTAACGCTCTGTCGCTGTTCTGCTTACAAACACACTTTGCACTGACTGATTTTCCTTCCAAATTAATCTTGACCAACTTTCGCCACGTAATATTCTTTGTAATAAGTGCTTGTCTTCCTGAATATGTTCTTCTTCTTGTGTGACGATGTTAACTACTTACTTTTCTTATATATTTGCTAATTTTAAGTTGATAACAATTATTTTTTAACAAATTTTTTAATTGCTATTTTAACTTTTACTTCGGCAATTCCACATATGCGTGACAACCGTAGACCTGTGCTGACATAAATTAAAGACGGTGGCTGTCACTAAAAATGTTGACGGCGGCATAAAAACGACTGTAAGCCGGCTAAGTTTTCAACTCTGTTTTAAAATTTACCAACGATACACATAGTAGCATTTTGGACAAAATTTTTTAACAGTGTTAGGATCGATTAAGGCCAAAATAGAATGTAACTAAATATAAAGTGTTAGTTATGCAACAATCATGATAAAATTTAGCTGAGATCAAGTTTATATGTTCAGAAATCAAACAACATGATTCAAAAGTCGCAAAGGTGAAAAGTCGTATCACATCTTTATATAAAGTCCCCTTTAGAATTTTATTTAATGTTTATAATATGAGCGTATTTTATTTAATCTTAATCATGTTACCAAATTTTATTATATAAAAATAACAAAAAGGCGCCTTAAGAAAATAAATAATCATAATTGACTGATAATTGAAATGAGTACCGCGATTGAAACACGATTTTTAAATCTTAATTATACAAATAAGAAATAAGTCCATCAACTTTTTTGAGCATCAGTTCATAAGTACCCATAACTTGCTAAACTTTTACTGGCATTAAAATGCTGCTATAAGAAACAAGTTTTGTAGGAACCAATGCATTATTGACTCTTTCTCTATATAAGATCAGAAAATATCTTTGACATTACTGACATAAAAATAACCGTATAACCCTATAACTTCTTTAACGAAAAAAAGTTTACTTTTAATCAATCCTAGCAAATTTAACAATGATTCACTCTTTCAAATACGGAAGAATTATTTGATCCAAGCTCTCATTAAAGTTCGTATTCCAATGCTCATATTGAGTTTAAACTAGTATTCGGCATATCCAAATATAACACACCTACTTTTCTGAATTTACAAGTAGTCGTACACTGACAAAATTTACGGCGGCTTTTATTTTGTTGCAACGGCTAGGTTAAGTCACCGAATCGCCGTTGATCTGTGCGTGACAACCGTAAAAAAGTGCTACCTGATTATCAGAATCATCGAGGTGCCATATCAAAGAAAAGTTATGAAATGTAAAAATAATCGCTAGAATTAAAATCAGGTAATTTGGTTTGCCAAATGAATAGGAAAAATATCGTTTTTTTAATTTGAAAAATATCATGATTTCGCATAACATTTATTCATTAATTTAAAATACAATATAGAACACAGAGATATAAGTCGAGATGGGTCAAATCCGATCATTTTGCATTGGCTTGTATCTCCGATAGAAAAGCACAAATTTTAATAAATTTTTTATATTAAAAAGTAGAGTGTACAATGTGTAATTCACCAGTAATGTATTTTTTTTAAATTCATATTAGTGGCAGCACTCAATTCAAGTGAAATATGTTGGCAGCAGTGATGAACTGTTAGATATTGTATTACTACTTCGCAGGGTGTTCAGCTTTTTAGCAGATTCTGCATTTCGCAAATATGCCTTTACCATTGACCAATTTTCTTCTTCTAGACTATAGACTAGACTATAGACTACACTATAGACTAGACTATAGACTAGACTATAGACTAGACCAATTTTCTTCTTCTAGACTATAGACTAGACCAATTTTCTTCATCTAGACTATAGACTAGACTATAGACTAGACTAGGCTATAGACTAGACTATAGACTAGACTATAGACTAGACTATAGACTAGACTATAGACTAGACTATAGAATAGACTATAGACTAGACTACAGACTAGACTATAGACTAGACTATAGACTAGACTATAGACTAGACTATAGACTAGACTATAGACTAGACTATTACTAGACTATAGACTAGTCTATAGACTAGACTATAGACTAGACTATAGACTAGTCTATAGACTAGTCTATAGACTAGACTATAGACTAGACTATAGACTAGTCTATAGACTAGACTATAGACTAGACTATAGACTAGACTATAGACTAGACTATAGACTAGACTATAGACTAGACTATAGACTAGACTATAGACTAGACTATAGACTAGACTATAGACTAGACTATAGACTAGACTATAGACTAGACTATAGACTAGACTATAGACTAGACTATAGACTAGACTATAGACTAGACTATAGACTAGACTATAGACTAGACTATAGACTAGACTATAGACTAGACTATAGACTAGACTATAGACTAGACTATAGACTAGACTATAGACTAGACTATAGACTAGACTATAGACTAGACTATAGACTAGACTATAGACTAGACTATAGACTAGACTATAGACTAGACTATAGACTAGACTATAGACTAGACTATAGACTAGACTATAGACTAGACTATAGACTAGACTATAGACTAGACTATAGACTAGACTATAGACTAGACTATAGACTATAGACTAGACTATAGACTAGACTATAGACTAGACTAGACTATAGACTAGATTATAGACTAGACTATAGACTAGACTATAGACTAGACTATAGACTAGACTATAGACTAGACTATAGACTAGACTATAGACTAGACTATAGACTAGACTATAGAATAGACTAAAGACTAGATTATAGAGTGGAGTATAGGCTAGACTATAGACTAGACTCTATAAACTAGACTATAGAATAGACTAAAAACTAGATTATAGAGTGGAGTATAGGCTAGACTATAGCCTACACTATAGACTAGTGTAGTGGGGGTACTGCAATATTTTCCGACAATCTGCGACAATCTAACTACAGCACCTACTTCCAAGCGGAAGTTGGTTCATTCACAGAATGTATATCAGTGTTTTAATACACAATTTCCACAGATAATTCTAATTCTCACCATTGACGTCTTACCAACCAAATCTAGTCTGATCTAAGCGAATTACGGAAGTTACATTTAAGTTTTATAACTATCTATGTGATAATGATGTAAATTCACACCTATTAAATCTTATCTGCTTTCGCCATCTTTATTACCGAAATCAGTTTAGAAAAAATATAATAAATTTATAAAATTAGTTTAAATAATAGAAATTACGTAAAAAGACTAGTTGCTTATAAAAATAATAGGGCATAATAATTTTTAACGCTTTTAGTTAGTGGCGCATTTAATCTTAATTAAGCGTTAAACCAACATTAAGTTTTATAAACCCAATAAATCTAAAAAGCATGTTTAAACAACTTGCCGCACTATTGACCAGAAAAGAAAAAAATATTATTTATATAAAAAATAATAATAAACAAATAATAACATCGATAAAAATATTTATTTAAACAAAAAATAAAAAAATAATTTTTCTTTTATACTGTTATTATTATTAAAAATATAAATATAAACTTTTCTTGGAATGGAAAAATATTGAATCAAATTTAAATTGAAATTTTTCCACTTGAGCAAAAATTGACAAATTCTTTATGAACGCAAAAATTAATACATATTTAATCAATAAAGTAAATTTTGCGTTTTATTTTTTTGGCAACACTTTTTTCATTTTTAGAGTTTGTAAATTATTTTGACAAATAGCTAGCGAAAAAATAATAAAGTATTTTATCAATAAATATGGCAATAATTGACACTTGCACCATACGGTATGTACTTGTAGTATTCGATCAAAAAATAGCTAAATTTCATTAACACTTTTACACATTCTTAATTTGTTATACATGTACTTTGGATTAAAAATTTGTGATTTATTTTAAGTATAAAAATAAATAATTTTTTATTTATTATTTTGCGACTTTATTAGTATTTGATCGAGTACGTTATATAAATATTGAAATCTAAACTTTAACAAATGAGCCCATCTTTTAATTAATGGACTGACGGCTTTAGAAAGTGATTCTGAGTCGATTGGTATACTTTAAGGTGGGTGATGGACCAATATTTTCGGGTGTTAGAAACATGAGCACAAACGCATAATACCCTCCTCACTATTGTGGTGTAGGGCATAAACACCACGGTAACCCCACGACATTTTTGGTACTTTTCTAACATATAAACTTTTGATAAGTAGTCCACATTATAGTACTCAAGACTTAGACCAGTATGAAGTCTATTCTACACATTTTCTAATCTATAGTCTAGTTTATAGTCTGGTCTACAATCTAGTCTATAGTCTAGTGCATAGTCTAGGGTATAGTATAGTCTATTCTATAGTCTATTCTATAGTCTATTCTATAGTCTAGGCTGCAGTCTATTCTATAGTCTAGTCTATTCTATAGAATAGTCTATAGTATTGTCTATAGCCTAGTCTATAGTCTAGTCTATAGTCTCAAGCTTCCAGGCAGAAGTACGAGCAATAACGGAATGCGTAAATTGGATTAGAATAAATATGGCGCCCACAGCGCTTAATATATTTACCGATAGCCAGAAGGCAATTAGGGCGATATCAGGCGATAGAATTAAATTGGATTGTAAGAAAGCTTTAACTGAATACTCTCCCAGAGGTAAGGTTCACATCATATGGGTACCAGCCCTCTCGGGAGTAGTCGGTAACGAAAGGGCGAATGTAATAGCTTTAAAAGGTAGGGAGCTCGAGGCAGTTAACCTGACAAACGCGAAACCATTCGACGCAACAAAAGCTGAACTAAAAATATGGGTGAAAAAATCCCATAAGGCCTCTTGGAATAATGAAACAGTGGGTAGCACCACGAAGATCCTATGGGGAAACCCTGATGAGAGCAAGACGAAAAATCTCCTCAAAATGAGCAAGTCTGAAGTTAGTATGAGGGTACGTATTCTGAGTGGACACACAGGATTACGAGCACATCTATGCAAAATTGGACGTGCGGATTCAGACGAATGTAGAGCATGTGGAGAGGACAGTGAAACTCTAGAGCACTTTCTTTGCCACTGCCAGGCATTCGACGAAGTTAGATCCAAATATCTGGGAAGTGATGTTATTTCGGAAATAACATTCCTGACTAACACTGATTGGAAGATTCTTAGGAATTACGTTCAGGAAACTGAGATTATGAACACTGAAAATTAATTCATTCAGTTCCCTTTTTTTCATGATAAGGAGCGCACAACAGACCCGATAGTGGCCTAGGTGTATTTCTTCGGATTTGACCTAGTCTATAGTCTAGTC